GTTTTTTCAAGATTTGCTTTAAAAATCTTGATATTTCTTAAAGCATCTCGAGATGCTATGGAAAAATCTCAAGATACTTTGAAAACATTTGGAAAGATCTTGAGACCTTTTCTTTTCATCTTAAGATTTTCTGAAAGATCTGGAGATTGTCATAAAAAATCTCAATATTGTCTCATAAGATCTCAAGATTTCGTCTAAAATATTGAGATTTTTCAATTTTTAACGAAGCGTGAAGACCCCCACAGGGGGTCATTATGATCCGCTATGTAACAGAGAAGTTTTTGACAAAATATTGGATATGTACCTCTAAGCTGTAAATGGTCAGAGGCATTAGTCCAAAGTGCTCTGCTCATTCCAATAATAATCTGCTCGCTGTTTATAATAGCCTTTTTGTTAAGATAAGACTGTCTTTGGGTGGAGAATATGATCAACTGATATTATAACTGAACCCCTACAGTTGACAACAACTTGAATGTGGTCATAGACAATATTTCAGCAAAGAAGTGTCGAATTATCTTACTAGATTACCTGAAAATGCCCAAAATTATCATGTTCCTTTGGTACCTCAATAACTAACCACGTTTCGAGATGAATAAAAAAACTCGTCCAAATGGTCATGACTTATAGGTGCGATAACAATTCTATTTGGACCTGCTCACTCATCCACCCATGCCACCTCCTATTTTGAACCAAAAAAGCGTATAACCTCGACGAAACAGTGCATACAGCTGACGACAGTTCTTAAACAACATTCTTAGAAAAAGACATCCGTCAATCCCACTGTGAGTTACAGCCACAAACACAACTAAAAACACTAGTAGTAATAAGCATGAAAATTATTAGTGTAAATTTTTGTCATTACCCAATCAAAAAACATAAATGTGGGGTTAAAAAGTTCCTGCTAATGATTTTTTGGCAAAATATGTTACGAAATAGCTGGCATTCCGCTATTAAATTTTACATGCAGGGTCATTTGTGAAATCTGTCGATAATTTAACTCTCACCGGTTTGGCATCGCTCTCCCTTAAATCCAGATGGGCAGACGCAGGAGAAGGTGTTGTCACCATCCACACACGTGCCGCCGTTATGACATGCGCCTGAGAAGCAGTCGTCTACAGCTGGAAGCGAAAAGAGAATTGAGTGTTGCCCTTAGAATGTATAGCTTACATATTTGATATAATATCATAATGATAGTACGTGATTGTTTCAACGACAGATGAAACTTATGGGTTTATAATATAACCTTACAACTTTTATTTTCTCTCACGACGTATTCTTTTTAAGTCAACAACAACGCAAACTACAATTGAGTTCCAAGGCATGACTCTATTTCCGCTAACTAACACATATAGACACTGTTAAATGCGACTGGTGACTACAGCCTACATGTTGTCTGTATTAATTGTACTCACTGACACATTGCCGTGACCCAGACAGCTGGTATCCGTCTCGACAGGAACAGGTGTAGCTACCAGCTGTGTTCTGACAGTTGTGATCACAGTTTCCGTTGTGAGTGGTACACTCGTTTACGTCTAAACATTTGGGAAAGAAATAATGTAACTTATAGGAAATATGCTTAATTCCTTTCGTAGTAAACTTTACGACATTGTGTCATACAGTATGTGGCGTCGGATGGCGAAGTGGTAGATCATTTGACTGTGAACCGGGAGACCCAGGTTCGATCCCGAGTCGTACCCGGGACATGTCTGGACATGCGCCCCGACGTTGTGCCCTTGGAAAAGGCACTTAACACGACTTTCCTCACTTCACCCAGGTGTGAATGGGTACAAGAACTTCGGTTGGGGAAAGCTGTATTGAGGTCACCTTGTGGCGCCGAATGGCAGCCGCACAGACCCTTTCCGCACAGACCATTTCCACAAAAAATGAGGAACAAATAAATCATGTATCATGTGTATTGTTATGTGTATTATTACCATTTGTATCATCTGATTGTAAACCCTGCATGAATTCAGCACTATAAGGCTGCGATTGCAAGGTGATGTTTGGCCAATAAACCATTTATTATTATTATTATAACTAAAGATTATCTTTCAGTTTCACATTACATTGTAAATTCCAACAATTAAACGTATTTGTTAAGATGGTGATAATGAAACGGAATTGTTACAAAACGTACAAAAAGATCACATTTCACTTTAACTTGTTTCAACTCACCAACGCAGTTCGCTGACCCAGACAGCTGGTACCCAGTCCGGCAGGTACAGTAGTAGCTTCCGGCAGTGTTCACACAGTTGTGCATGCAACCTCCGTTGCTGGAGACACATTCGTCTATGTCTGTGTTGGACGAAATTTAACATTTAACAGTCTGAAATTGATATAAAAGAGTTATCATTCCCTTATTCCATTAGATATTCACTATTAACAACGACCCTATTTAAGTCCTATCCACTGACATCTTACCAAACAATTTAGAGTACTATCTGCATAGCCTATGTAATCGCCCTTAGGCGTTACACACCAGCTTTGGTCGTCAAATGAAACATATCGTCAACCTCCCTTCGTCAGCACATTGTCCTTTACATTGTAAGCAATCTGTACCTGAGATACGTTCGTCTGTTATGCTCCAATTACAGTCTTCAAACTTCAAAGCTAACCTACCTGTTTCGCAGTTGACACCAGCCCATCCTGGTCTACAGTCACATCTGTACCCGTTAGTCAGATCTTGACAGGTTCCGCCATGCCGGCATGGGTTACTTGCACATTCGTTGATGTCTGGCAGAGATAACATTACGTAAAATCAAAAACCACAAATCTGTGTAATAATCATAGTACGTGATTATTTCTGCCTGCTAAAAACGTTATTCTGGTTGTGTAATAAAAAACTCCTATGTACGTTCTCGAGACTGGTTCTTTTCAAGTAAACGATCGCGATAACAGGACAATCTACAAACGAACACTACATTTCTCTGCTGTACCCAAATTAGAGTCTTCAAAGCTAACCCACCTGTTTGGCAGTTTACTCCCGTCCATCCTGGTTTACAGTCACATCTGTACTCGTTTATCAGATTCTGACAGGTTCCGCTATTACGACATGGATTACTTGCACATTCGTCGATGTCTGTCACAGAAGAACATTATATAAAGTCAAACACCAGTTACTGTACGAATCTGTTATGATATAATGATGGTGGTGCGTGATTATTTCAATGACGGATGAAACTTAATGGCTATAACCTTACAACTTTTCACGACTTATTCTTCTTAAGTAAACGTCAAACAACAACGCAAACTACAATTGGGTTCGTAAGGCATGACACTATTCTCGCTAACTAACACGTATAGACACTGTTAAATACAACTCGTGACTTTAGCCTACATGTTGTCTGTATTAATTGTACTCACTGACACATTGCCGTGACCCAGACAGCTGGTATCCGTCTCGACAGGAACAGGTGTAGCTACCAGCTGTGTTCTGACAGTTGTGATCACAGTTTCCGTTGTGAGTGGTACACTCGTTTATATCTAAACATTTTGGGAAAGAAATAATGTTATCAATATGAAATAGAATTAATTTCATTCGTATTAACTTTATGACATAATGTCAAATATTATTAACTAAATGTAGACTATAGTTAATTAATCTCTCTCATGTCTCTCCCGTTATCGATGGGTTGTTTTGTTAACGCCGTATTCGTACTTGAAGAAGTTACAGCGCTATTTTTAATTAGGGAAAGATCAAGCTAAGGACAAGCATTGAATTTCGAAAAATAACAGAAAGCAGTAGGCGACAATCCTCCGTGAAGTTTTATTTTTTTTTTTGTAAAACAAAAACAATCCCAAGCGTCAACGCCAGACCTAATGTGCAGACATAAGGCAACGTTTAATACAATGAGGGCGCGTCACAACCATAAAACACAAAAAGACCTAAACCCATTACTGCTCCCAGGGCGTGTAAAAATACTGTGCTTCAAATTCGAAGTTCATTTTAATTACACACACACACACAATCATGCATTCTCATAAAGATCGGACTATCATGGTAGTGTCACTAGTAACAAAGACAGCCCCGCCCTCTTACCGTTCCTGTTATACCACTTAAACTAGAAAGGCCAATATTTGCTTTGGAGCAAATACAGCGATGGGTTCACCACATTTTACGACATGGCAGGGAAAGAATGAGAAACACAAGGGAAAACAATGATTTACATTGATATAACTATAATATGAAGTAAAATACAACTAAAACAACAGTTGGATAGCTATTCCTTACTTTATTGGTTAGGATTTTTAATTGCATAATGCAAACTGTTGATTTTCAAAATAAAAAAAACGTTCATGCCCCGCATTCCAATGCTGGAGCATGAAAGCTTGAAATACCTACCAAAACACTTGAATACAGACATACTGTCAGTATGGAAATGCTCTGTGCAGGTGTTAATCAAGTTAAATCCCAACAGCCAATCAGCAAGAAATGCTCTGTGCAGGTGGAAATGCTCTGTGCAGGTGTTAATCAAGTTAAATCCCAACAGCCAATCAGCAAGAAGAATAGAGGAAAGCTGCATGCCTATTGGTTGATGCCCTGCATTCCATTGTGATGACTCATGCCCAAACGTGGTAAACAAGGCACACTAACACAGTAATACATTTGCTATAACACAGCCAAAAAACTCAAATAAAACCATTCTAAAAGCCTGTATCACAATAATTTAAAAAACGCCTAGGGGTATTTGCCCACTGTACCTCCATACCAAATTTCAGGACCTTGGGCCCTAAAATGAAGAAGCTGAATCCATTTAAAAAATGGCAGGAGAAGAAGGAGGAGAAGAAACATCAGAAAAAGCAATATGGGTTCACCACCACTTCGTGGTGTGGTGAACCCATAATAAGGAATACTTATCATAAGCAAATAATCTGAAACAGTTGCCCGACATAGAGTAAACAGTTGCATAATGGCCAACAGTTGCAGCATCAGTAAACAGCGCACGCCGTATAATCAACAACAGTTGCATCCATCACCGCGAGTTACTTCCGGTCAAATAGCCGGGCGAAAACAATTCAACGACATTATAGGGATGTTTCTAAAGTATTCATTTACTTCAATATCAAAATTGCTAGGGTGACAATAAAAAGACCCGCATCACTACAGACATAATGGCACACCACATGACAAATTACACAGAGATTCTGCGTACAGAACAATGCGTTTTGGCTTTGAACATCTTTAAAATTCGGCCCATACCCTATAATCACGGGGACGAAACAAATGGTACTACTTATCGACCCCTTCAAACATCTGCCTAAAGGACACACCCCCCGCTATTCCAAATAACGGGTTTTCTGGACCATTCCAATTTGCCTCATAATTGTAGGGGTGCATCTGTTATATTACATTGACCGCGAAAACAGCTACGGCGATAATACAAATTCGTGCATCAACACGGGCATGCCCGCAGACGGCGTAGAAAATTACATGCCGATTAAACAAAGAGAAACACCTGTTCTAGCTGCAAACACACAAAAAAAACGGCTGCCCACAATACTCCATCCGGAGGTCATGAACTCATTCACGGAGTAAAAATACTGAAGAGGAGTCATTGACCAATTGATGATAAGAAAAGAGTATCTTTAAGTTTCCTATTACATTGTAAATTCCAACAATCAAACGCATTTGTTGCAAAATGTACAAAAAGATCACATTTCACTTTAACTTGTTTCAACTCACCAACGCAGTTCGCTGACCCAGACAGCTGGTACCCAGTCCGGCAGGTACAGTAGTAGCTTCCGGCAGTGTTCACACAGTTGTGCATGCAGCCTCCATTGCTGGAGACACATTCGTCTATGTCTGTGTTGGACGAAATTTAAAATTTAACAGTCTGAAATTGACATAAAAGAGTTATCATTCCCTTTATTAGATATTCACTATTAGCAAAGACCCTATTCAAGTCCTATCCACTGACATCTTACCAAACAATCTACACAAGTCTCATTGCGCCTCTAAAACAACTGGGTTAAAACATTACAATCATTCAAAAAGTGTGCTAGAAGGTATATATCTGTATCTATCTGCATATCCTATGTAATCGCCCTTCGGTGTAACACACCAGCCTTGGTCGTAAAATGAAACACATCGTCAACCTCCACCCTTCGTCAGCACATTGTCCTTTACATTGTAAGCAATCTGTGGCTGGGATAAGTTTGTCTGTTATGCCACAATTAACGTTATTACAGTCTTCAAACTTTAAAGCTAACCTACCTGTTTCGCAGTTGACACCAGCCCATCCCGGTCTACAGTCACATCTGTACCCGTTAGTCAGATCTCGACAGGTTCCGCCATGACGGCATGGGTTACTTGCACATTCGTTGATGTCTGGCAGAGATAAACATTATATAAAGTCAAACACCATGCCAGAGACATGTAATGCACGAATCTGTTATAATATCATGATTATGGTACGTGATTGATTCAACGATAGATGACATGGGTTACTTGCACATTCGTTAATGTCTGGTAAGGCTAAACATTATATAAAGTCAAACACCAGTTACTGCACGAATTTGTTTAAAATATTATGATCATAGTACGTGATTGTTTTAACGACGGATGAAACTTAACGGCTATAACCTAACAACTTTTATTTTCTCTCGCGACTGATCCTTTTTAAGTAAACGTCAAACAACAACGCAAACTACAATTGGGTTCGTAAGGCATGACACTATTCTCGCTAACTAACACGTATAGACACTGTTAAATACAACTCGTGACTTTAGCCTACATGTTGTCTGTATTAATTGTACTCACTGACACATTGCCGTGACCCAGACAGCTGGTATCCGTCTCGACAGGAACAGGTGTAGCTACCAGCTGTGTTCTGACAGTTGTGATCACAGTTTCCGTTGTGACTGGAACACTCGTTCACGTCTAAACATTTTGGGAGAGAAATAATGTTACAGGAAATAGACTTAATTTCATTTGTAGTAAATATTACGACATTATGTCAAATATTATAAAGTAAATGCAGACTTTAGTTAATTTCTCTCATGTCTCCCGTTATCGATGGATTGTTTTGATAACGCCGTATTCGTACTTAAAGAAGTTAGAGCGCTATTTTTAATCAGGAAAAGATTGAGCTTAAGACAGGCATTGAAAAAAAAAACTTAAGAGGAGTCATTGACAAATTAATGATGAGAAAAAAGTAACTTTCTGTTTCCTATTACATTGTAAATTCCAACTATTGAACTCATCTGTTACAACAGATGAAAAAAGATCACATTTCAACTTGTTTCAACTCACCAACGCAGTTCGCTGACCCAGACAGCTGGTACCCAGTCCGGCAGGTACAGTAGTAGCTTCCGACAGTGTTCACACAGTTGTGCATGCAACCTCCATTGCTGGAGACACACTCGTCTATGTCTGTGTTGGACGAAATTTAAAATTTAATCGTCTGAGATTGATATAAAAGAGTTATCATCCCCTTTATTAGATATTCACTATTAACAAAGGCCCTATTTAAGTCCTATCCACTGACATATTAGCAAACAATCAAGTCTCACAATGCCTTTGAAACAACCGGGCTTAAAACATAAAAGTGTGCTAGAAGGTATATATCTGTATCTATCTGCATATCCTATGTAATCGCCCTTCGGTGTAACACACCAGCCTTGGTCGTAAAATGAAACACATCGTCAACCTCCACCCTTCGTCAGCACATTGTCCTTTACATTGTAAGCAATCTGTGGCTGGGATAAGTTTGTCTGTTATGCCACAATTAACGTTATTACAGTCTTCAAACTTTAAAGCTAACCTACCTGTTTCGCAGTTGACACCAGCCCATCCCGGTCTACAGTCACATCTGTACCCGTTAGTCAGATCTCGACAGGTTCCGCCATGACGGCATGGGTTACTTGCACATTCGTTGATGTCTGGCAGAGATAAACATTATATAAAGTACAAACACCATGCCAGAGACATGTAATGCACGAATCTGTTATAATATCATGATTATGGTACGTGATTGATTCAACGATAGATGACATGGGTTACTTGCACATTCGTTGACGTCTGGCAGAGATAAACATTACATAAAATCAAAAGCCACAAATCTGTGTAATAATCATAGTACGTGATTATTTCTATCTGCTAAAAAAGCGTTATTCTGGTTGTGTAATAAGAAAACTCCTATGTACGATAAAACCTTGCATTTGTTTTCCTCTCGGGACTGGTTCTTTTCAGGACAATCTACACACGAACACTACATTTCTCTGCTGTACCCAAATTAGAGTCTTCAAAGCTAACCTACCTGTTTGGCAGTTGACACCAGCCCATCCCGGTCTACAGTCACATCTGTACCCGTTAGTCAGATCCCGACATGTTCCGCCATGACGGCATGGGTTACTTGCACATTCGTTGATGTCTGGCAAGGATACACATTATATAAAGTCAAACACCGGTTACTGCACGAATCTGTTATTATAATATCAAAATGATAGTACGTGATTGTTTTAACGACTGATGATTCTTGTCGGTTATAACCTAACAACTTTTATTTTCTCTCGTGACTGGCCAGGCAAGACTCTATTTTCGCTAACGAACACATTATAAACATTGTTAAATACGACTGGTGACAGCCTATATGAATGAATTGAATGAATGAATGAATGAATTTTTTTCCGTGTCTTGCGACTTTTGTCTGTGACACTTAAAAGTGTACTCACTGACACATTGCCGTGACCCTGACAGCTGGTATCCGTCCCGACAGGAACAGGTGTAGCTTCCAGCTGTGTTCTGACAGTTGTGATCACAGCCGCCGTTGTTACTGCAGCACTCGTCAATGTCTTAATGATTGAAATTGATAGGGAATTGTGGCTTCTTGCAAATTCTGAAGTACGCCAAAAAACAGTTACTTAAGCAACTGAATATGATTTTGGAAACGGTCAGACGTTTCAGGTAGCATTCACTACATTTCGTTTGTGACATTGTTTTTCCCTGGATGTCTAACCTTTCACGGCGTATTCTATAGGTATTTCAGTTTAAAAAAAAAGACCCCACCCGGTCATACAACGGGGTTCCGGGGAATTCGGGAAAAGGGAAATAATCGTCCACGAGAATCAGTCTGCATGTGGTTAATTTTTACCTTGGGCGAATAAACCCTACGGTAGCCAAACTCCCCTGGCCTCTCTACTGGCTATATTGTACTGTTTTTGAACACGCGTTTTTACTCTCCGGCTAGTTGAGACTAGATTTGACCCAAAAGACGACAATATTGGAACTACGGGAATTAGTAACGGACAAGTGCAAATCCCTTAAGGATATTTTATTATACATACCTAGGCTACTTACCAAAGCAGTTTGTCGACCCTGACAGGTAGTACCCTCTCCTACAGGTACAATGGTAGCTCCCGTCAGTGTTCACACAGTTGTGGCTGCAGCCTCCATTGTTCCGAGAGCATTCGTTTATGTCTGTATTGGGCAAATCAATTCCTCTTTTACAGTTTTGCACATGAAATCAAGTTCCTCTACGATTCAAAAACAAAGACCTGATATTACATCTGAAGGCTTCAAAACTTAAGTATTTTTTAAGACCAAGACCAAATAAGTACACACAATAAAAGACGTAACGTTACTCAGGTAAATTTGTGACGTGAACCGATCAGAAATCCCATTTCATATTGGTTATGACGCCGTAATGTCATATTTAGCATTATACAGGTGTTGCAAAAACAGCCCAAGTGGTCTCTTTGTCATAGGTTGTCCTTTGTTGTACGATAAGGACCACTTGACCATTATAGGAGTAAACCATTATGCAGGGGTGAGTGGACTCTTGTTGCTGACATTTGTAGCACATTTCCTTGTTGAATAGAAATGTTTACCGTCTTTCAGCGATGCAGAACAAAACAACGATCTCATCCTTCGCGAAATGTTAACCGTTCCGAATGACGACGCGAAAAGACACATTTTTCTGATAGATTATGAAAATATGTATGGTACCATAATATGTCGGCTTTGATATCGCATAATTGAGATTAGGAAGGCTGCTCGATCGGCGTATAAATGCGCGTGACCTTTTCGCTGCCTGCCAGGGTGAGTCGGCTGCAGTTCCGGTGCGCTCCGCAGGAGGCCATTTAAAAGAGGGCGGCATAATGTAAAAAAAGGATAACTTTTTGTATTTTTTGTTATTTTGTACATCGTACCCTATATTTGAACATATTCGTTTCTCGTGCCTTATGGTACCCTACTGTATTTCTATCCGCGTCGATGTCAGTCACTTCCGGGTCCTTAACTATAGAAATCCCCATAGGCGAAAAACTGTGTTCTGCTACCTTGACATTGGTTTCCCAAAACTTTACCCACATACCAAATGTACTTGATATCTTGTCACAGCTTGTTGAATTATGTTTTTGACATACATACAGTTACAGACCACAGTCAGTCCACCATGGCATAACTGAAAACTTAACCCTTAACCCTAATATGGTTCAGAAACGCCAGTTTGGTTAGGAAAATCAATCCACTATGACATATCAAAAAGTATACGCAAGTCGTAAATATTAACAAGAGTTCCACGATCTCATGCCTTCGCCAAATGATGTTGACCCTTCCGGGTGGCGAATTATACATTTCTACTCATTGATTTCGAAAAAAAGGAAAATCATTTACATGGGTTATATTAGTTATATATATTATCATATTCTCCATCCAATGACAGCCTTAAATTAAGAAAAAAAATGCTATCTTAACACTTCCTCATAAATTATCCCTCAAACACCCGAACGGGGTCCATTTGGACCCCAGGCGTATATTTTTATGTGCTATTGGAAAATTTTTTATTCGAAAAAATTTCCTCCCGTGACTATGTCAATAAACCTCTTTTTCAAGTTCTCCTATTCTTTTTTTTAGATCAGGCCGGCACACATTTGTAAAAATGAAAATGGAAAGTCTGATGTAAGACCGTCTGGGGTCCAAACGGACGAATCAGATTTATAGAATTTCTGTAGATTTATGTAATTTTGCAAATTATCTCCTAATTTGCATAATTGTCACCATAAATTACGTCAATCCGTCAACCGGTTCTTGAGTTATCCTCCTTGGAAGATTTTCCACAAACGCTCCCGTAGTTCCAGAGCAAGAAGCTAGGGGGCCCAAACTCATGTCACTTCTTTCCTAGCATAAGAGATATCTACCATTCAAAATTCGTGACCTTAGCATGTACAGTTTGCGAGGTATCAAAACTTGGAAGTTCTACTGCAGTATCAACAAAAGCCGCCAGGGGGCCCAAAATCTAATCATTTCTAGGTCTTATAAAGACCTACCCACCTACCAAGTTTCATGACAATGCATATAAAGCTTCTTGAGTTATGCTGTTCACAAACAAACAGACTGATAGACAAACGCTACTGAAAACATAACCTTCTTGACGATGGTAGTTATTAAGGGAAGGAGGTATTTAAAAAGTGTTTGGTGGTAGTGATATAGTTTTGGTAATGGAAAATATTTGGGAATCCACAGAAATTGTATAACGGGCCTTTCTTGAAACAAAAGGGATTTTCTTAATGTAATTGTTCGCTGTGATATAGTGCTGGCATATATCCAAAAAACTAAAAAGCGCATGCAAGGCTTTATTCAATCTACATAAAAGTATAGATATACTCACCGTTACACCGAAATCCTGACTGCTGATACCCAGGCCGACAAGTACAGCCGTAGCCGCCCATTGTGTCGGTGCAATGATGCTCACAGCCGCCGTTGTTGCTGGCACATTCGTTTACGTCATCTTATATGGAGGATAGATTGTGTTGAAAAGATACAGACGTTATCATCATCAGTCTTTCACGTTACGAGGTGCAGCAAGTGAAGTTGAGCCTCTAGAACTCTATTTCGGTCATTGCATGGTTGTGTACAACCAAATCTCCCAGTACTTCTTACAGAACTCCTTAATGACAACCCACCAACATGGTTTCAGGAAACACTATTCCACATGCACAGCTCTCCTGGAAATGGTGGATGATTGGTACCGTAACATTGACTGTGGGAACCTGATAGGAGTGATCTTCCTCGACTTTTCGGCTGCATTTGATCTTGTTGATCATGCATACCTTCTTAGAAAGCTACAATGCTATGGTTTCGGTATGGCCGCAGTTGAATGGATGGAGAGCTATCTCTCACAACGCTTGCAGTGTGTTCACTACAATGGCCGTAACTCTTCCTTCAGGGATATCACATGTGGAGTACCTCAAGGGAGCTGTCTGGGACCCCTTCTTTTCAGTATATTCACAAATGATCTTCCTCTAGCCACAAAGGAGGCTGCCTCAGTTATGTATGCAGATGATACTTCTGCTTACACATGTGCACCGTCAATCTCTACAATCAACTCCACCTTGCAGAAAGAGCTACAACACATAAGTGACTGGGTCTTAATGAACAGGTTGT